ATGATATTTTCAAACCAACCAGAACCTCACAACAAAGAATTTGAGTCCACAATGAGCTCAGCACATTGCTCTTGTTGACTTTATAAACATGGATTCCTTTCAAGTCAAGTGAACGGAGGTAGAAGCAAAAAGATTGTATACTGGTGGACAAAGGAATATGATGAAGTGCTGAAATAAAGCTTTTAAAATGTTAAAAAGAAATCAGAATTATCAGAATCCTGCTGAATATAAAAAGTCACAAGCTAATGTAAGAAAAACCATTAAAATGCAACGGGGGACAGTTGGAGGGGCTTTTGTAATTCTGTGGGGAGAGAGACAGAAATTGATAAGGTATGGTCAATGATCAGAAGGATGAATACAATTATAAGAGAATATGGGTACCCAGTATTAAATGATGGGGAAGTTACAGCAGTGAAAAATGAAGATATGATGGCAAAAACCTTTGGTAAAATTCATAACTCAATTAATATTAGGGATAGAGTTTGGAGGTAGGGAAGTTACCACAAAGCTCATGTGGCACATAAACCAGAGAAGGATGATACAAGCCAGGAACCTACAGACCAATTGCTTTAACATCAAACATCTGCAAAATAATGTAGTGTTAATAGTGGGTTAATTATATCAGTATTGGATTATGGGTGTATAGCATATAATTCTGCTGCCGGAGCAAGTCTTTGTGAGTCTGCACAGGTGCATTTAAAACAACCCCAACAGCAGCAGTACAGGTAGACGGGAGAAATGCCACTAGAAATCAGAAGAGAGCGGCTAACACTGAACTACTGGACAAGTCTCTAAGGACATGGTCAGCATCAGCCAACAAAAACTGTTTTTCAATCCTGCTGGGAAAAGAGGAATGAAGAGCTTTGGGTCGACACTGAGTCAGAAAGCACCTGAACTTAACTCATTCACTGCCATTGACGTCTATAGCCGTCAATGGCAGTGAATGAGTCAATGGGTTTAACTCATTCACTGCCAATGGCTGGCAGTGAATGAGTTAATCTGGACAAGATCAGCATTAGTGAAACAGCACCATTACCTACAATACCACCATGGATGCTGTAGTAAATTTCACACTATTGGACAAAAAGAACAAGGATAGGGGTTTTATTTTAAATTCACATACAGCACAGGAATACATTGGTCTGTATTACAAGTATGTCAAAATGTACACAGATGCATCAAGGAAGACCAACCAAAGTGGGACAGCATTTATTGTTCTTGAGTTTTGTTTCAAAGTAAGGAAAAGGATCAGTGATGGATCATCAGTATACACGGGTTTCAATACTGTTGGCTGTCCAGTGGATTGAAGACAGAAGACCATTAAGATCGGTGATATGCTCAGATTCAAGTTAATCATTGGCTAGTTTGCAAGACAGTCACTCGGACAGCAGATCTGGCATTCTGATAGAGATTCAGCAAACACAAAGTCAATATGATGGGGCTTATGGTCACATTCTCAAGGGTACCAGTGCATCGTGGAGTTAAAGGAAACAAAATAGCAGATAGGACAGCAAAGGAAGCTACAAAGAGAATTTCAGTGGATCTGGTCATCTATGTCAGTCGGACAGAGATTAAGAGTAGAAAATGGAAGAAAGGTGGCAAAAGCAATGGGAGGAAGAGAGGAAAAGGTGATGGTTTTACACAATCCAAAAGAAAACAGGAGAAATGAGAAGCACAGGAAGGAACAGGAGAGAGGCAGATTTGGGCACACTGGTTTGAATAGCACGTTATTTTTAAAAGGAAAACACCATACAAGAAAATGTGACTGCAGTAGAGAAGATAACACCATGGAGCATGTTTTAGTGCACTGCCAGAAATGTGACGAGGAAAGAAGAAAACTGATTTAAAAGCTCGGTTATATGAAAGTGAAACTGGATTTGTTAGATTTACTTTGCAAGAACTCGAAGAGTGAAAGTTATCAGGTCATATTTAGTTTTTTTAAGACAGACTAATTTGTTTGGAAGGATTTTTTGTAGGTTTTTTTTTTTAATATTTCAGGGCACACTCTACACCAGTTAGTGGCGGTAATTTACCATTTTGCTGTTTGACAACCGCCAATAAATGATAAAGAAGAAGAAGAAAAAGCAGAAGGACGCGTCACATGATTGCTCGAGCACTTCGCCTGTCTGTTGACACTGCCAGCTCATCATTTTTGTTGAACCCTTTAAAGAAATCTGCTACATGGCTAGTTGCTTTCCGAGTGTGTCCGAGCTTGTTTCGGAGGCCCGGCGACTGTACGGACAGATGTTCGGTGAGGAGCCTGCTCGAGTGGCGGTGTGCGCGCCTGGAAGAGTGAACCTAATAGGAGAGCACACCGACTACAACCAGGGACTCGTGCTTCCAATGGTATCAGTTCCACACTGCCACTCAATAGAAAGCTTCATCTGTTGAACTGAGTCTTGCATTATCACTTTCATGTCGAAAATAGACAAAGATGTGATTTTAACAAACGGATTTTATGCCAGTAATAGTAAGAATAGTGCAGCAGTGATTTTTCTCTTCTTTTTTAAATAACTTCTGGAAAGAAATTTCTTCTTGACACAAAGACTAAAGACAAAACTAAGCACTTCCTTGTGCATTTGCTGTCAGGCCCTTCCTTTAGTGACTGTGGTGGTGGGTAGTGAAATATCCGGCCAGGATGTTACCGTGGTAACCGCAGCCTTCGACGCTGACGAGCCTCACCGATTGGACTTCTGCCTGTCTCGTGATGGATCTGCACTGTCTCCAGGGTTACCCCGCTGGGCCAACTATGTAAAGGGTGTTATACACCATTACAGGGGTAAACAAGACTGTAAACACATTATACTGTCACAGTGAAGTAGAACAGATATCAAGCAGAATCTCACAATCAAAATTTAAAAAACAAATCCAAAAAGTCTACTTTTTATGCGTCTTGTGTTTTAGCTTCTCCAGTCCCAGGTTTCAGGGCAGTGATAGCCACCAGTGTCCCCCTGGGTGGAGGACTGTCCAGCTCTGCCTCTCTAGAGGTGGCCTTTTACACCTTCCTGCAGCAACTCAAGCCAGGTTAGAGTCATATTAGAGGACATGGCAGTGACTGAATACTTAATTCAAGTATTTCTGCGTTATACTGCTTTCTTATTCTATTCCACTACATTTAGTCCTTGCAGTTATTATACTCTACCATTTATTTTACTTATTGTTTTGATTTCGTTCAGATTTTAGAATAATCTGCCGATATATGATGCTGTATTATTCTTGATAAAGCTACCCAGTAGTATTTAAGTCATTATGCCAAAAGAAGACTTCTCAAGTAGTAAATGCCTTCAGATTCACTTAAGGAATAAGTGATATACAGTCCTGACCTCTCATCACCTCTCTGCTACCTGCTTGTTTCAACACGTGTGTTTGTTTTCAGTCTCACGTGGCACATTTTGATGGGGCCATTGCTGTTCACTCTTTGTTAGAGTGATGGTGGCCTGGCAATAACAGCTTTCATGCTAAAACAAAATGTATTCCAAGATATGGTTAGAGTGTTTGAGCGCTCTTAACGTCTAACCATACTCGTACTGACAGCCGATGCTTATTGATTTCACTAACAGGCCGATGGTGTTGGAGCCGTTTGATCTACTCTTTACTTTTCTTTTTCTCATAGATGATGGAAACCAGGTGTCCAAAGCATTAGCCTGTCAGCAGGCTGAACACACTCATGCTGATGTACCCTGTGGCATTATGGATCAGTTTGTATCTGTTCTTGGCAAGGAGGGCCATGCATTGCTCATTGACTGCAGGTAGTACAAGCATCTAGTGAGTGATGGTCTTTGGTTACACAAGATAGACATTGTTACTATATTTTCATTAAAATTAAAAAGAAAAAAAAATGTGTTTGACAGATCGCTGGAGGCCACCCCTGTTCCTCTGACAGATCCAGGCCTGGTCATTCTCATCACCAACTCCAATGTAAGGCACTCTCTGAGTTGCAGTGAGTATCCCATAAGACGCAGGCAATGTGAGACGGCTGCCTCCATTCTGGGGAAGGACAGTCTGAGGGATGCTACGATGAAGGACCTAGAGGGTGTGGATGTTTTTTTTCCGTCCTGTTGTAATCCATTTTCTCTTACTGTTTTACAGTTCATTGGCAGGTCTTTGAAAGCCTTAAAAACCACAACTTACAGTCCCCACAAACAAGGTCTTAAAGTATTTATCTGAGTCCAGGTTATTTTTATTAATTATATACAGTGTGTAGGAATTCAAATTATTGCAAAAGCCAAATAAATTATTTGCCAATAATGTACTATGAGAGCCGGTAACTGAGAGTTTTAATAATATGAAGTAAAAAAAATTACATGGTTTATTCAACATGCCTAAGGTATCGCCTTCTGCCTGACTCAAATTTTTCACCACTACAGTAATTCATAAATGTTTCACTTATTTTATTACTGCTTTGAACTTTTTAAGCATTTCTATTTTGCTGACCTTTGACTTGTCTTTACTTTTTTTACACACATAACTTTAAGTTTCAACCACTTGTTTGCCATTTGAAAGCACTTATTAGCATTTCAGTACTTTTAGATGACTGTATATATTTTTTTGGTTTTTTAAACTCATCAGTTAAAGCTAACCCTCTTTATTGTTTATCGGTTCAGAGGCCAGGGGAAGGATGGATGATGTTACCTACAGAAGAGCTCGCCATGTAATTGAGGAGATCCAAAGAACTGTCCAAGCTGCTAAGTCTCTAGAAAGAGGAGAATACAAGGAGTTTGGCAAACATATGGTTGAGAGCCACAACAGTCTGAGGTACAGATAGCAAATGAGTTACTGTATAGGTCACTGTCAGGCATGTTGTAACTCGATGTCCCTGTGGCAGAGATCTGTACGAGGTGAGCTGCAGGGAGCTAGATGAGCTGGTGTCTGCAGCCATGGAAGTGGAGGGCGTCTTCGGCAGCCGGATGACAGGAGGAGGATTCGGTGGATGCACTGTGACTTTGCTACTCGCTGAGGCCATTGACAGGACCATACACCACATACAGGTTAACACACACACATGTATAAAGATGTAGCATGTAGTCGTGGTTATCAGGATGACCACGACCAGTAGAATCAAATAACTACATATTCAGTAAAGCTCGTAACCTTAAAACAAACACTTAGGAGACACTGTTATTGGTCAGTGATAAGCTTTTCAGTACAAACTTATCTAATGGCATATATAGATTTAAAAATCCAAGGCTTTTTTTATGCCCCGTGATATACTACACAATATGTGTGTATATTTGAGTTCTGTGTGGATTTAATCAGTCAAGATCAGGAGTGCTTTAATGATCACTTTGAAGAAATATTTGTTGCAAATTAAAAATAAAAACAAACTTACATGTTAGAAATTAAGATGAAATGCAATTAAATAAAATCTGTAGAAAGTACAATTCCAAATATAACAGTTCAGTAAAAGCTAACCTTGTGATGGAGCTAGGTTAGCTGTTTTAAAAGTGTGCTAAGCTAAACGTGACTTGGAGCAACCTGATGGTCATACCTGGTCTGAAGTTTTATTATAGGGGCAAAAGTTTTAAGCCATCATTAAATTTTGTTTGAAAACTTAGAATTAACTGTAGCATTTTTTTAAATATACAAATCCACAGAGAAATCTAGTTAGGGCCACATTAAGAAAAACTAAATTCATAATTTTGAGAATAAAGTTGAAATTTCAAGATTAAAGTCGAACATCTGTTTTGAGAAAAAAGTCAAAATGTGGACGTTACAGCTGTTGTTTCAAGACAAACTGCCACAGTTGCTGCACCATCTGAGTTAGTGAAATCATACTTCAGAATCTATTTTAGTAACAAGGAAAGAAATTTCTCTTTTAGCACATAAACACAGTGTGGTGATAAGTACAAGATGGTGCAGAAAGCTGCATCTGGTCAGACAGAAAAACCACACAAACTTAGAAGAGTGGATTTGTACAAAATGAAATAGCTGGTAATGGACAGATGCAAAGTTATTGATGGTTACAGCCTTGTGCAATATAGAGGATGTATGTTGTGTCACAAGACGGTTGAATTAATTGTTTCACTAAGTCATCTACACAAGACAGTTTGTAGAGGATACAGCAGTGGTAGCAATGTGTGTTGAAACAACAACTGTTATCTGAGCTGGCACTGGGGAGCTAGCCTAACTTGTGGGGACCAAAATCCTGGTCCCCACAAGTTACATTAAAATTTTTTTTACACATTCTCACTTTTTATTATGCAGGCTCTTGCATTTTGCAACATGTTTGCCTTCACAGATATATAAAGAGATAATAAATATTTAAATAGATATCTAAATTTAAACAAATGAGTGGTGGCTCAAGACTTTTGCACAACATATTAAATTATGCCATTCTATGAGGGTTTATGGCTCATCGACATATAGTGTACAGTGGTGTATGAACAGTCCATTACTGGCTACGTTAATGACCACTACAGTATAGGTGTGTGTGTGTGTGTGTGTGTGTGTGTGTGTGTGTGTGTGTGTGTGTGTAGTTGTTGGCCCCACAAACACTGCTAATGTATAGGGTGCAGGGTCTGACACAGTCAGCATTTTTGCCATCTCTTCTTCACATACGCTAAATTTTATTAATACACGTAGTAGCTGTTTTCCAGTCTTATGTGCCAGAACACATAAAGTAATCATGCATTCATGCAGTGCTTTTCCTCTCATATGCTGTCTGTAGCATCTGTATTATGTATTTAACCTCTTCATATTTCATAGTGTAGTTTTATCGTTGTAAAATTATCCGCTCTGCTGCCATTACACTTATCTATAGTTGTGACTGAGCAGATACTACCAACACCGCCTCTTTCGTGTGAAAACATCCAAGTGAAACCCTGGGTTAACAAAGTGAGAGCTATGTTTGTGTGACCACGTGTCTTCACTGCAGATATCAGGCTAAGTAAACTTAGATTACAGAAAGATGTTGCTCACAGTACAGGACCCTGTACAATTGTTATAAAGGGGGAAAACTGTCCATGGAAACCAAAATAGTTTGTTTGTGCCAGGCTTTAAACATGCTAATCTTTTCTGGGCATTTTGACGTGAGAGTCTACGGAGACTGACTTGCTTTTGGGATCATCCTCAAGGGGCCATTTTTTTGTTTTGTTTGACACCTGATCGTGCGCTCCAAAGAAGGGAATAATTTATTAGCATTTCCTTTCAGCAATTGTATTTTTCATAGGAACAAAATCAGTTTTTTGCTTTGTTTGTTTTTCGGTAGGTAACTCTATTTTTCTGTTTTTATTCTCTTTTCTGGTAAATCTTAGCATTCCTGACAGTGTATGAGAAGAAAAATGTGTGGGGCATTGTTCATTTGTTAACAGTGGATAAAAACACCTTTCAGTGAGCTATCACTTTAAGAGGACATTACAGACAAATCCCCAGTCCCCTGTGTCTTGCTCAGACATCTCCAGTGTGTGAGAGTCAGAGACAGTGGGTGAGAGCTGAGAATAAAAGCAAGTTTCATTGAGACGGAGCCAAGAGTCCAGTCATTGGCATGCTACTCTGGTTACCCGGTAGGCCTGCTGCTGGTTGACACAATTCAGGATCTTATAAGAGATGCATCAATAAAAGTTTTCGGCCGCAGATTATCATTGGAAATGCCGGCATCTATAAAGATGTCACTTTGACTTTGAAGCAGCAGTGAGAAGAAAAAGAACAGCAGCCTTTTTCCATATTTTGAAACGGCAGTTTTATCTTCAGTTTCTGAATCAGATTTGGCAGATTTTCTTGTATCTCTCCGAACTTGGCTGTATCCAGGACACTACTGTGGCTTGCTGACTGTCAAAGGAATAAAGGCTTTGTGGGGAAACAAAAGAAATACTTGAATCTTCCACAGTCCTCGACATTCCTGAACAGGGCATAATTCTTGTCCTCACAAAAGCAACACTGACTTCACAGGTATAAAAAGCACAGCTTCACCTACAGGATGCTGGATCTCAACTCTTCAGATGACAGCATGAAGAACTCTCTTAAGGACCCTGTGTGCTTGAACGTCGGTGGAGAAGTCTATACAACAACCTTAGACACTTTAACTCGCTGCCGTGACTCGATGCTAGGCACCATGTTCACCGGACAAGTTCCTATGCTTAGGGACAGCTGCGGCAACATTTTCATAGACCGTGACGGTAAAGTGTTTCGCTACATTCTGAATTACCTGCGCTCTGGCTCTTTGGATCTGCCAGATGGCTTCACTGAACTCGCACTGCTCAGGAGAGAGGCAGATTTCTTCCAGATACCCGGTCTGCTGGAGGAGATTCGTCACTATGAGGTATCGGTGCCTCTGGGCCTTAGAGGTGGGCCGCTAGGAGCCATCATGATAGTAAAAGTCGACTCCAAGGTACGTGTGATGAGGTTAGCTAGACTGTTCATCTGCTCATAATAGGTTTGTTTTATTAGGTTAGTCGATCATGTTTACTCTTGACCACTAACTACAAGCCAAACAGTTTGTTTTTAAGTGCAGAAAAATAGAAACAGGACAAAATGGTTTGCAAATTATTTAAAGTCCATAACCTTTGTTTTTCAAAAGTAGTACAAAGATAATAAATATAAAAAATGAGACATTATATTATTTTCTCAATTTGACCTCAGCAAACATGTGTGGACAGTGTCTGCACATTTAATAATGGCTCAAACATCAGTAAAATGCCTTCTTGAAGTTTGCACACCGAAAGAAAAAGTCCTACAAGTGCATATGCAGTAAGGCTAGCCAAAAAAAACCTTGTTACTGCACCTCTTTAGTGAATCCTGACTCAGTCAGAAGTATTTCTGCTTTTTAGGAAATGGTAAAGCAGGCACTGTCCCAAATTATTTGTTAAAATGACCATTTATTTCCTGTAGCCTCCAAATTTGTAATTTTTTCCATAAATGCTAAATGACACAAAAGGCAGTTTCTGGTTGATTGCACTCTATATACAGTACTGTGCAAGTCTTGGGCAACAATTTCTTTATATTTTGCTCGGAAAATATATTACAGCACCACTGGCTGAAATGCAGCCTCAAACTGTGTTAGAACCTCCTGTTTTATTCACTGTTCACTCTTGCCTTCCCTCAAACGTTGTAACAGTTTGAACCAAGAATGTCAGATTTGGCTTGACTTGTTGCCATTGATTTTTTTGAATACAGTTCTTGTGTAATCTGCGCCTTCCTCTCTTGTCCTTTAAGAACCACACCTTGCCAAGCTATGCCAAGTTTCTAGTGAAGAGCTGTGTGGAATTGCCTTGTGGGTAAAAAAACAAAAACAAAAAAAACAATTTTATGCCTTTCGAACTCTGTTATTATCACCATTTATCTGATATTCAACAAAAGAAACTGGTCAGATAGTTTCATGTTGTGTGCGTTTGTTTTGTTTTGTTTTCAACAGGCTGCTCCATTTTTCTAAGTGGCTTAAACACAAAATATATTCCTATAAAAAAAAAAAAAAAAAAAACTTTGAAAGACCTTCAGAAAGATCTGTTTCTGAAGACTTCTTTAAGAAATGAGTCATTGGAAGCAAAATATAAAGAAATGAGGATTGACCGAAGACTTTTGCACAGTAAAGAAAGAAAGAAGGTGCATTTCCCAAACCCCCGAATACCCTCACATATTTACTGCATATAATGATGGACAGTCATAGTATTGGTGAAGTGCATTAAATTAGTTGCAATAACTATTGTGGTAGCAATAGTTATTGCAACTGTACATTTTTTTTTTACGCTACGACTGTACTTTTTTTTTTTTTTACAATTTATGAGAAAATGATGTTGCCTAACATCTTAATTGCATTTTGATTGTTAATTTAGCTCATACAGATATGATGGAGGTGACCCATTTCTTGTAAAGCTCTGGTATCAAATAGTGTTTTAGTGAAGAAGTTAACCTAATAAACAAAGCTAGCCAACACCGAAGTTTCAATCATCCAGTTATAGGATAGTGGGTATGATTAGTACTTTCCAAATGTTTATGCCATTAATCAGTGATGATATTGACAGAAGTTTCAATGTGACAGTTGTAGTCAAAGTGAAATCTGTAAACGTTTAAAATTAAAAACAATCTCCTCAGAACTGTGCAGCAGGTCATCACCTACATATGTATGAGCGAGAAAAAAGGAAATACCCTATAAATAATATGAATTAATAAATAGTGTAAGTATGATGACAGGTGTTATTTATGCTTTTGGACAACTGTTATGTTTTAATCTATTTCATAAGTTAGTCAAGAACAGGTGCATAATATCATACCACATTCAAATTGCATAGCAATTTGGTAAATTATGGCTTAACAAAAAATTAACTAATTATTTAATATGAATGAAATATGAGCAGAGAGTACAGTCATGTTGAGGGATAGGCTGTGTTTGGTTCTGTTCTGCTTCTAGTTAGACTCTATCTGTTCCTCATTCAGGTGTGCAAAGGTTTTTTTAATCAAATAACTTTTCCCAATAAACCATCACAGCTAGTGTTTTGTGTATATACAAGACATACACAGAGGTTGTGTTTGTGCACCTGTTTGCATGTGTAGCCATGGAACAACCGGTTCTTTGTTTGTGTATACTCTGGGGGATATGTAGTCAGTATGTTCTTCCCTCTTATTTCAGGTCCGTGTTCTCCATTTTAACTTGCGCCATGGGCCTGAAAACTATGAACTCCGCACATGCTCTGTACGAGCGTTCACAGTCGACCTCTTTTGTACCTGGAGGGCATTTCTAGGTTTGCTTTGTGAGCGCTTCTCCTACAGGACACCCCAGGGTCTCAACAGCCCTCACCTATGTCGTCCGAGGCAGAACAGACTGAAACTGGAATGGGTGCCAAAGCCTGATGAACTCCCACAGGAACAGTATGACAAGCAGCAATACAGGGGCCTAACTTTGTCTAGCCCTGAGGTCACGTGGTCGGATGACATGATGAACATGCACTACAGTCACTGTGAAATCACAGACATGCAAGGCTTTTTGGAGGAGCTGTTGAAGATATCACTTGCTGAGGGGTTCAAGGTTGATCTAGTCTCTCCTGACCCTGCAGATATTCTTAACTGCACTTCACTTCGTCTTGTGAAGTCATGAGCACTGGATGAAAGTGACTAGGAAAACCAGAACATACCAAGATAATAAACTATAGGATAAGATGAGATAGCCTTTACTAGTCCTGGAGTTAAATTTGAAGCAATGAATTCTCTATGACATGGAGTTAGATTTACTGACACATTATGACTAGGAGGTCATTATCTGTGGTTCTTTTGCTATCATAGAGTTTACTAAAAATAATGCAAAATGTGCTTTATTAATAAAATGGTAAATAAAATGTACTTTTTTGTGGAAATTCTGATATTGAGGATACAACTTCAAATTTTAGTTTGGGCTCTGTTTAAAAATGGCAACTGTTTTTAAAAGTAGTGCAGTGTGAGTAGTACTAGAGCACACACCAAGGAATGATAATATTCACTGTTAGTCACTCGGCTAAATGTGTGACATATATTGTGACTCACTTTACAACAGTGTTGGGAAGGTTACTTTTAAAATGTATTCCACTACAGATTACAGAATACATGCCCCCAAATCTAGTTTGTAACGTATTCCGTTAAGTTACTCAATGAGAGTAACGTATTCTGAATGCTTTTAATATATTGTTATGCTTTTTACAACTACATGAATGTACTATTGCTGTGTGATTTAATATTATTACTGAAGGCTACTCGCCACCGAGTTAACATTGTTAGCTGGCATTATCTCAGGTTAGTTCATCAACTGCTTTCAGAACTGCACGATTATTTGCAGCTAGCAGGTTGTTAATGCTATTCATCAATTGTAACAGTCACACAGCGATAGTACATCAAAGATACTGAAGTGGCACATAACCCAGATAGCTACCACACTTAACACAAGGTAGTTGCAGTAGGCTAACGTTCGTTTTTTAAAAAGAACTTCCTTCCAGATGTTTTTTTTAGGTTGGGGGGTGGAGTCTTTTGAGTGCAACTTGGTTGCTGCCAAACAGTTTGCATTGAATTGTCAGATTTCACCCATCCGTTTCCTCTTTAAATATGAAGTGGTGTCAGAATTTCCAAGTAAGAAATGCATTCCTGTTCATGCACTGCTGGCTCTGTTGTGCTGGCTTCGGATCCATTGTGTAACTGATGCCACCAGCATTAATAGGACTCTAATTTCGTGTTTTGTTTGGGTTTCCGGCAATGTGTGGAACTACCAAAATCAGAGAGGGGACAGCATAACATATGAAACAGGAAAAGACCACCTTGTAATCCATTAATTTCAACAAAGTAATTGTATTATAATAATCACCTTGTTACGCCTCCTCGAGGGCAGGAGGGGGTAACACAACAACTCCAGAAACTCGGTACAAGTGTAATAACAAAAGCAAGTTTAATGGCAGCTTTCTCACATAAACAATAACCCAAATTCATACAACAAATGTGGGTGAGAAAGGGACAGTTAGGTTGTTCCAAAAAAGACAAAACCAAAACTTAGCTGGGTTCTTACCCTAGAAAAACAAAAAAGGTCTGTAAAGACCTTTATGGGTTCCACACTTAATCCAAAATAAACCTCAAAATGTTGCAGAGCCAACAGAACGGCAAGAGTCTCTTGTTTGATTGCAGAAGACCTTCTCTGAGGATGAGTGAACTTCTTTGAGAAGTAGCACACAGGGTGATCAAGTCCTACCTACCTACCTACCCCAACCACGCTAGCATCAACCTCCAACTTGAATGGTTGGCTAAAACCTTTTTGGTTAAAGGAATCTGCCAATAACCTTTCAACATATCCAGTTTAGTCATAAATGTGGCAGGTCCAATGTCATCAATGCAATTATCGACGAGAGACAAGGAATACATGTCAGGAACTGTCACAGCATTCACTTGGCGGAAGTCCGTACAGAACCGTGGACTCCCATCAGCTTTAATGTCCAACAAACATGGGGAACTGCAGGGGCTACAACTGGGTATTGCAAGTCCATTTCTAACAAGATACTCTACTTCACAACTTCTCTTTTGATGGGATTGACTTTGTATGCACGCTGTTTAATGGGTGCAGGACTGGTAAGAAAAATGTCATGGGATATCAAACTCGTCTGGGTAGGAACATCCCCAAACATACACCGGAAGGAGACAATCAGTTTCTGAATGTCTTCAACCTGATTAAGTGACAGGTGAGACAAATAGTGGGACAAGTCAGACAGAATCTCACTATTACTTAGTCTCGTCCCCTGTGACACATCTTTGCGCAGGACCGCATCTTCCTCACTGCTTTCATTGGCTATATCTGAAGCTACGCATGCTATAGGGGAGCTAGACTTAACCTTGTGCGGAGTGAGGGGATCATCTTCATTCTCTCTATTCTCTCTAGAAAGATAATGTTTCATCATGTTAATGTGGCATACTCTAGTCTTGCGATGACGATCAGGAGTTTGAACAACATAATTGGTCTCACTGAGTTTCCTTTCCACAACGTACGATCCAGAAAACCTTGTTTTCAGAGAAGAGCCCAGAATGGGGAGCAGAACTAGAACCTGATCACCAGGTTTAAACTGACAAGCAACTGCTCTCCGATCATAGTGTTTTTTCATCCTTAGCTGCCTAGCAGTTAAGGTGTCCCTGGCAATAGCGCAAGCTGATTTAAGGCGCTTTCTAATTTTAGCCACGTACTCAGGGATGCTCTTTAGTGTTTTAGTTGGAACAACTAGCTGTTCTTTAAGGATGTGCAATGGTCCTCTAACTTCATGTCCAAATTCAAGCTCTGCAGGACTAAAGCCTAGGGACTCTTGCACTGCTTCACGAGAAGCGAACAATAAGAATGGTATACCCTCATCCCAGTTCTTTCCTGTCTCCAGACAGTATTTGCAGAGCATGGACTTTAATATCTGGTGAAGTGCTCCCTGACTTTCAGGATGGTAGGAGCTTGATGTAATGTGCTCTACTCCTAATGCTTTTAATGCCTGAGCAAAGGTTCTAGACTTAAAGTTGGTTCCCTGATCAGTCTGGACTACCTTTGGAAGACCAAACACTGAGAAGAACCCTACCAGAGCTTTACTGATGACAGGAGCGGTGATCCTTCAAAAGGGGCACTGATTCGGGAAACCTAGTAGAAGCACACATCATTGATAGGATGTATTGGTTCCCTGACTTTGATTTTTGTAAAGGTCCTACAACACCTACAACACCACAACACTTGACTGACAGGATGACTCAACAGACAAAGGCAAAATACCCTCTCGAACGATAGACTGCGAACCACCCGTGTCTCTCAGTATTGTTACAGGCTGGTCGTCAACAGTATCACCTGTTAAAGAAACACAACCCTGTGTGATAAAAGGTTTGAAACAAGGATCTATTTCACGTTGAGATGTTTGGGTTCTGGGAGGCGACACATTTTGAATCAAACCCACGCCCTTGGGTTGCGGCGGTGTAGTCTTATTTTTTTTTTTAGTGCAAGGCAATGAGCAATGACATGACCTTTTTTATGGCAATAGAAGCATTCAGGTACCTCACGGGAAAGTAATGGTTGCTTAGCTCTGGCTTCAGGCTGACCAAGATCAGGCTTTGGTGAGCGTGTGATCAAAACCTTATCTGAACGAGGGGATGATGCAAACACATTTTTATGGGTTAAAATGAACTCATCAGCAGATTCTTAAAATCTTCCAATAGGATTAACTGACGAAGAGCTTCAAAGTCTTTCTTCACTTCACTTGCTGTGCACCACTTGTCAAAAAGAACTGCCTTCTCACGTGCAAACTCTACATATGTTTGACCATTAGACTTCTTGTGATTCCTGAACTTTTGTTGGTAGGCCTCAGGTACAAGTTCATAAGCACGAAAGATGGACTCTTCAGTACATTGTATTTCATGCTATTTTTGATAGAGAGAGATGACACAAGCTCCAGTGCTTTGCCCACTAGCTTGCATTGCAGTAGCACAGCCCACATTTCTTTTGGCCATTCCAGTGCTGTTGCAATCCTTTCAAAGCATTAAAGTTGAGCCTCATAGCTTCCACCTCTAGCTGTTTTAACTTTACCTCCTTCTCAGCTTCAATTTCAAGCTGACGTATCTGAAGTTTGAGGTCGAACTCAGCCTTACGTGCTTGCTCCCTTTATGACATACAGTGGGGCAAAAAAGTATTTAGTCAGCCACCGATTGTGCAAGTTCCCCCACCTAAAATGATGACCGAGGTCAGTAATTTGCACCAGAGGTACACTTCAACTGTGAGAGACAGAATGTCAATAACAAAAATACAACTCAATACTTTGTAACATAACCTTTGTTGGCAATAACAGAGGTCAAACGTTTACTATAGGTCTTTACCAGGTTTGCACACACAGTAGCTGGTATTTTGGCCCATTCCTCCATGCAGATCTTCTCGAGAGCAATGATGTTTTGGGGCTGTCGCCGAGCAACACGGACTTTCAACTCCCGCCACAGATTTTCTATGGGGTTGAGGTCTGGAGACTGGCTAGGCCACTCCAGGACTTTCAAATGCTTCTTACGGAGCCACTCCTTTGTTGCCCGGGCGGTGTGTTTTGGATCATTGTCATGTTGGAAGACCCAGCCTGGTTTCATCTTCAAAGTTCTCACTGATGGAAGGAGGTTTTGGCTCAAAATCTCACGATACATGGCCCCATTCATTCTGTCCTTAACGTGGATCAGTCGTCCCGTCCCCTTGGCAGAAAAACAGCCCCATAGCATGATGTTTCCACCCCCATGCTTCACAGTAGGTATGGTGTTCTTGGGATGCAACTCAGTATTCTTCTTCCTCCAAACACGACGAGTTGAGTTTATACCAAAAAGTTCTACTTTGGTTTCATCTGACCATATGACATTCTCCCAATCCTCTGCTGTATCATCCATGTGCTCTCTGGCAAACTTCAGACGGGCCTGGACATGCACTGGCTTCAGCAGCGGAACATGTCTGGCACTGCGGGATTTGATTCCCTGCCGTTGTAGTGTGTTACTGATGGTGACCTTTGTTACTTTGGTCCCAGCTCTCTGCAGGTCATTCACCAGGTCCCCCCGTGTGGTTCTGGGATCTTTGCTCACTGTTCTCATGATCATTTTGACCCCACGGGATGAGATCTTGCGTGGAGCCCCAGATCGAGGGAGATTATCAGTGGTCTTGTATGTCTTCCATTTTCTGATGATTGCTCCCACAGTTGATTTTTTCACACCAGGCTGCTTGCCTATTGTAGATTCACTCTTCCCAGTCTGGTGCAGGTCTACAATACTTTTCCTGGTGTCCTTTGAAAGCTCTTTGGTCTTGGCCATGGCGGAGTTTGGAGTCTGACTGTTTGAGGCTGTGGACAGGTGTCTTTTATACAGATGATGAGTTCAAACAGGTGCCATTCATACAGGTAACGAGTGGGGGACAGAAAAGCTTCTTACAGAAGACGTTACAGGTCTGTGAGAGCCAGAGATTTTCCTTGTTTGAGGTGACCAAATACTTATTTTCCACCCTAATTTACGAATAAATTCTTTACAAATCCTACCATGTGAATTCATGGATTTTTTTTTCACATTCTGTCTCTCACAGTTGAAGTGTA